GGTTTTGTTTTTTAATGATGAAATGCAGTGCCTTTTATTCCTAACAAACTCATCAGGCAGTGGGAGACCGTACTCCCCGGCGAGCAGATAGCAAAGTCCCTGCTCTGCCTTTGGGTGGGGTCTTGCAAATAATCCCTTAAGTACCCTGTTTGTTTTCTTGCTGTAAAGTGACACTTATCTTTGAAGGAAAAAAAAAAACAAAACAAAGTCAAATAGAGAATAACTCAGAGCAAACAGTAGAAAACATTTCCTAACAATAAGGGCTGGAAGGCTCCCTGTTCCTTGCAAAAACAACCGGGAGTGCAAGAGGCTGCAGCCCGGCCACGTCGGGGGGACACAGGAGAGCCACCTTCCCACCTGGGTGAAAACGGGGCAGGAATAGTTTCCAACCCAGTTATAAAACTGATCGACTCGAGTCGCCAAGGCCAGATTCAGTACAATTAGACCTGATACCCACCGAGTTTAAAAGGCATCGTCAAATGTGTTTCTAGTGAAGGGGCAGAGATTTGTGGCTGGGTTTGGCTTTGGGGCTGAGGGCGGGTGGAAAGGAGCTCCTCACAGTGCCCCCACGGGCAAGGAGGGGGCTATTAGCTGGGGGCTTCGCCTTGCCACCTGGGGACTGGTCCCACTGTGGCTGAGCCACAGCCCAAATGGACAGGAAAAGGGCCTGAGAGATGAGACAGGCAGGGGGTAGTGGCTCCTCGGTGACTGATGGGACACTGAGTCCATCAGACTGGAACTGGAGCACCCTATGGGATGTGTACTACTGGGGCTTACTGGGAAAGGGTGAGCTGCTCCACAGCATGGTTTCAGAGGGCTGTTTGTGCTGCACTGGAGGAAAAAAGCAAACCGAAGCTGTGTGTTGGACAAATAAGTCGATGAAAAGATCTGGGTGGGAATGTGCACATTGCCTGATATGATTTGGTGTCCCCAATGGCCTTAAACAGCCCATAGAATTTCTATGTCTAAAACAGATTCCAGCAAAGGAGACCTTTTATGATGCACTAATAGGCTCATTAGTTTTTCTCGAGCGAGGCACGCTCACAGCATCGTATGTTTTTTCCATTACAGGAATTACATATGTTTTGTTGTGCTTTGGGTTTTGTTTTGTTTTCCACATAGACTTGCCCTGACAGTTCCCCCATTCAGGTTTGTATTGGAGGTACCATCTCGAGCCAATGAATTTTATGAAATATGTTGCTGGCACTCACGGAGAGATGCATAAAGGAAATATTCTAATGACAGTTGGGAAGGCTTTGATCCCTTTCCAAGACTGCACTCATGTCTTTGAAATGCGAGTTTGGCAGTGCTGGAAAGGCTGGGCTCTTTGGCTGGCTTTGGCACGAGCCCATGGGACAGACATTATGTCCTCTATCAGGGGACCCACATAACCTTGAGAAGTGTAAGCAACGCTCACAGATTGCGCTGGGTCAGATAGTCTGGGCTGATAACAAAGCAGCCGCGGCAGCAGGGGGGGAGTCAGCCTCGTCCAACGCAATCACTGAAAACTGTTTTGACCTGGTAACTGTTGGGTCTGCTGCCTGCGGCTACGGAGTTGGACATGAACTGCAAAAGTAGTTAATTTATGCCTCCTTGAGTGTAGGAATGTGGTGATGATGGATAGGGATGGGAGGTTATTAGAAACATGGGGAGGAAGGAGAGGATGGAATTCCAGCTCGTGTTTTTATCTCTTACACACACACACACACACTCACGCTGGTTCCTTCGCACACAGGCTCTTGGCTGTCTCACATGTGTGCACAACCAGGCCCCCCCTTACACACTCACACCTCTGTCCACACACGCACACACAGGCACGTGTCCACACGCTCCCCAGGGATCTCCCTGAGCCGAATGCTCCCGCGTGTCGATGTGCTGGGGGCTGCTGGCTGCTGTTACAAAGGGGTTCCTCCCCAGCATGGGCTGGTTACACCTACTCCTGCACAGACCCTTTGCTAAAAATCCTCTTACAGCGTTCTGTTCTTACACCACCTGCATCCTGGGCTGCACCTAAAGAAGTGTGGCCAGCAGGGAGAGGGAGGGGATTCTGCCCCTCTGCTCTGCTCTGGTGAGACCCCTCCTGCAGTGCTGTGTCCAGTTCTGGGGTCACCAGCATCAGAAGGACATGGACCTGCTGGAACTGGTCCAGAGGAAGCCACAGAGATGCTGGGAGGGCTGGAGCCCCTCTGCTCTGAGGACAGGCTGAGAGAGTTGGGATTGTTCAGCCTGGAGAAGAGAAGGCTCTAGGGGGACCTTAGAGCCCCTTCCGGTCCCTAAAGGGGCTCCAGGAGAGATGGGGAGGGACTCTTCATCAGGGAGTGGAGCAATTAGATGAGGGATAATGGCTTTAAACCGAAAGAGAGGAGATTTATATTAGCTACTAGCAAGAAACTCCTTGCTGTGAGGGTGGTGAGAGCCTGGCCCAGGTTGCCCAGAGAAGCTGTGGCTGCCCCATCCCTGGAGGGGTTCAAGGCCAGGTTGGAGGGGGCTTGGAGCAACCTGGTGTGGTGGGAGGTGTCCCTGCCCAGGGCAGGAGGTGGGTACCCAATGATCTTTAAGGCCCCTTCCAACTCTGACCATTCTATGATTCTGTATTGTGCTCACTCCCAGCCTCCCGTTGGCGAGCAGAGGATGAGTGGTCAGAGAAATACTATAAGACCGAGTCCAATTGACTCAGTACGATGGATTTACGTAAGGCACAAGCTCAGTCTCAGTGATGCACTGACATCACCGGCCAATTAGTGAAATGCTGTCTGCTCTGGATGTTGTCTGCAGTAATAACCCGAGTACAGAACAGCCCGGGATGTTGAAGCACAGAGTCTGTGTGCGAGTGAGGGAGTGATTGTGGCCGCGCACTGAGGATATAAATGGGGATTGGATTGTGTAAACAATAAGCAAAGAGACAGCTGAGAATAAAGAAATATTAGTTTAGATTATTTGAAACCATAAGAGAAGAGCGAGGATAAAAATGGTAATTCCTACAGGGATTTGCACGGGCCGTAAAGCGTCTGCATCCAGAGTCAACAAGCGCAGCCCCAGTACGGGCAGCGGGGCCTTCCCTCCCCACTGTGACACACAACACACAAACCTTCTCCTACTTAGAGGTCCACCAGGCTTCTGTTTCTGTCCTGGCCTCTCCTGCACGATGTGCCACATCACTCCCACATTCTCTGCCTCTTTTGCTCCCTGTCTTTTACTGGTGCTGCCACGCGTGTGACACATCGTCCCCTCCACACACACCTGTCCTCTGTCACACTCCCTGATGGGCTTACACTTCCCTTTGGAAACACACATGACCTCTCACATGTGATTTCAAACTATTGCTCGTGGATATGTGTAGGTATGAGCCCATATTTGGAAAAGATGTTTTCAAAGGCACAAAGAAGATCCTGGAAATCGATTGCACGCAGCCTCAGAACGTTGTGCAGACACAGGCAGAGCAAGCCTGAGGAGCTAAGGGAAGGGTCTCTGTATTTTCCATAGATGTGTTGGGAACCGTGGAGAGATGAGAAATGTGTAAAGGGTCACAGTGGTGACCTGTCCTTCAGGATGTCATCCACATTGGATCGGAAGATAAACACTCTATGGAATGGAAACATACCCTTCCACTGGTGTCCCCAAAGAGCACGTCTTCCTCCATGAGTCAGCGAGGGCCTGGGGACACCCAGCCATGAACTATTTTGGAGGCAATGACTTCAGCAAGTGGCAGGGGAAGCTATTGTGGAAATATGAATGTGTTTTCCATTGGGGAGTCCTCCAGGGAAGGACAGAAAGATCTTGGTGCTGAGCCAACTCCCCTATTTTTTCTTCACCCTTCTGGGAACGAAAGCCTTGCAAAGTATGTGAGGAACCCTACTTACTGAGTGTGAGCGTGTTTGGTTTCTGAGAGCTGCACCAGCCTAGACACATATGGAAAGGGGGACTTCAGGAAGCAGGAATCAACCTGCTCAAGACCATCATGGTGTCCTTCCCTTACAAGCTGGTCAACCATGCTTGACTCCATGTGGTCTCTCCCTGTGTTGTTTCCACCTGCCAGGTGAAGACAGTACATCCTCTCTGTGCTTTAGCTCTTGTGTTAGCACAACACTTCATATCAAAACACAATGTGAGCTGGAAGCAGAGAGCCAATGGGTTTCTTCCTATGCTTCACTTTCTCCAGCTTTACTCTGAGTTAGATCATCGTGGTGCCACTGAAAGCTGTGGGACACCATGGCACACACTTTTGCAGTAGCTCCTGTGTTCTAGTATTGACCATCTAGTCCTTAGACGGAGTGTAGAAGGTACTTCCAATGGCCATCAAGCTTATTGGTGGATTGGCTTTGCTTTGCTTGCCTGCAAGGAGATTGTGACCTCCAGAGATCCCAAAAGATAAGAAGAAATGCTGCTCACCTGGGGGAGGAGGGGGCTAGGGAGCCTTAGGAATTTATGCCATGGTATGGTACCACTCCTGTGGAGATCTCCTGGCACAACTTTGCTTGTTGGAAATAGCAATTCTCAACCAACCATCCTATACCCAGGCTAGACCCCGTGCGTCTCGGCAGAAGTGCTAAAGGAGTAAGTCCGTGAGGTGTTGTGCCAGCCTGAAGGTGTGAAACTTGTTATTGTAAAGGAAAATTAGAGGTAACAATAATAAACAGCTTAGAGGAAATGTGCAAGGTAACTGCTGATAGAAAAAGATTTACTGACCATAATAATTGGTTAATTACATTCATAATAAATAGATTCCTATACTTATCTCAGGAATGCGGACAGCTTTATGTATTTACCTTGGATTTTGTGGCCTTAGTTAATCAGTGGCCTGAAGTCCTTAGATGAGATTCACTATGTGAATGCAAAGTAATTGAGATTTGGGAGTGGGTTATTAAAATATTTCAGGTGCCTGATACGCAGGATATTACAAGATTTTTGCCGGGATTGCAGCACCTCTTCAATACTTTGTTGCTTTTTGTGTCACCTTTAGAAAAAAAAAACAAAAAACCCAAGCTTTTCTTTTTCTACAGAGCATACTTAGATGTCAACGAACTAAAGAACATCCTCAAACTGGATGGATCCACGCACCTCAACATCTTCTTTGCCAACTCCTCCGAGGAAGAGCTGGCTGGAGTGGCAACTTGGCCCTGGGACAAGGAAGCCTTGATGCATCTAGGTGAGTGATAAAGATGTTTCTTCTTTGTAAAGCATTCTTTTGAGGCGCTAAGAAGGAAAGACAAATATGCGTTAAGCTCTGTTCTGATTTCTTATCATTCCTCTAATATATAGTCAGGGGAAAAAAAGTATTTCACGATTCCCAGATACTGGCTCACAACCAGGAAAATATTAGGTTATAAACCCAAAGCATATTATGGTATTTGTAGATGATGTCAAGCTGAAAGTATTTCACCTTTTAAGTGAAGCTACTTTGCAGGGCATTCTCTCCATGGGAGCACTTTGCAGAGAGGGTTGGGGGGATAGATGGGGGGATGCTAGACAGAAGTGAATTTTTAACCTTATCCTGTTACGTTCTGATCCTTAGTTCATTACTCAGTAAGCGTTCAATTAATTGTCCTCACAGACCATAGTTAACATTTGTTGCTATTTTTCTCCACCGATGTGCAAAATAGCAAATTGCTGAGAGATTGTATTTCTGATGTTCATTTGGGTGGAACTGGGGAGAGTTCACCACCCCACGGATTGCCCTATGCAGCTCACAGCCAGGTTGCCAAGTGTGGCTGCTGGAACCCAAGGATCCAGACAGAGCTGGGCAACCTCCAAGGTCACTCGTTGCCCAGACACCTGCGATGGCCACTGGACCTGTGCTCCTTGAAAAATGCCTGATGAACCTCAAAAGGTTCAGGAGGCACCGAGTCTGGATCTACTTAACTGTATAAACCGCCCTGGGGCTGCAAACCTGATCTGGTCACCTTCTAAGAGTAGGGATTCTCACAAGTTTTCCACATATTTCTCCAGCTTGTCCTGGCCTTCCTAGGCTGGAAGACAAGTCCAATTTCACCCAAGTTCAGTCTTTGTGAAAGGCTGTTTCAGCCAGTTTTTATACTACCCAACCCCACATGGAGCAAACCAGAAAAGATGTGGCAAATGTAAACCTAGATGAGGGGAGCAAAATATGGTGTTTATTATTCTAAAGTACACAATAAGAGCGGAGCTACGACTCGAGCCATCAGTCAAGTAGGCTTTTCCACGTTCAAAAATACATGCCCCCAAACCCTAGATGTGGATATCTCTTTATAGTCACCTGTCTCCATAGCTGAGGGAGGCTCCATGGTCAGGCCAAGCCCTTGGAGCTGGCTGCCCTACTTCAGTTAGTAAACATTCTGTTACAACATCCAGCTCCACAGCTGCTCTGGAAGAAGCGTGAGCAAACTTCCCTTCCCAAGGACCAGTGCTGACACACGTCCAGTCTCCTGCCGAGCTGGGCAGCAGAGCTACAACTCGAGCCATCAGTCAGGGAGGCTTTTCCACGTTCAAAAATACATGACCCCAAACCCTAGATGTTGAGATCTCTTTATAGTCACCTGTCTCCATAGCTGGAGCGGAGCTACGACTCGAGCCATCAGTCAAGTAGGCTTTTCCACGTTCAAAAATACATGCCCCCAAACCCTAGATGTGGATATCTCTTTATAGTCACCTGTCTCCATAGCTGAGGGAGGCTCCATGGTCAGGCCAAGCCCTTGGAGCTGGCTGCCCTACTTCAGTTAGTAAACATTCTGTTACAACATCCAGCTCCACAGCTGCTCTGGAAGAAGTGTGAGCAAACTTCCCTTCCCAAGGACCAGTGCTGACACACGTCCAGTCTCCTGCCGAGCTGGGCTGGAAGTGAAGCCACTTCCACTCTTGACTTGCCTCCAGCCCCAGCTCTATGGGCTCCTGCTGGGAGCACCCAAACCAGGAGATGCTGTAAATGCCTCCCAGTGAGCATTCCCCATGGCATGCCCTGGCAAAAGCAAAGATAAATATTAACCCCAGCATGGACCGGCACCTATGTTGATGTGATTTCCATCACTTTTTACCACCACAACCCCCTTCTCCTGCATTAGCCCCACAGTCACTCTCTGCTTCTGGTTGTGCAACAGTATGAGTTGCTGGTGGGAAACATCAACCCAAATGCCACTGCTGGACTGAAATAAGGCTGCAATATAGCTGATCCTTCCCTAAATGAGTATTTTCACAGCTTCCCTTGGGGTTGCCATGGAAGGGAGCAGAGAACACGGGGAGGGCTCCAGAGCGCCAAGAAGAACCTTCTGCAAGAGGGCTGGGGCTCGCCCAAAGCCCTGATGAGTTCTTCTGTCACTTCGTTAAGCTAATTGTCAACATCATGCCTGAGCAAAACAATTTAAATTCAGCTCCTGCAGTGTATTGACAGAATTCATTGACCAAAAAAAAAGATCTCACGAGAAAAAAAAGACATTACCCAACAGTTTAAAGTTGACTTGCAGTGGAAAAAAAGTAAAAATAAATAAATAATGCCCATAATTTCCTGTCATAATAGCCCTCCCAGACCTGTGCTTGGTCTGTAAGAATTCATCTTTAATCTTTTTTACTCTCTTCTATAAATCCAATATGTACTTAATAAAAAATATGAAATATGTCCTGTGGTGCAGATCTAAAGGCTGGGATAGAGATTGTCTGGGTGAGGGAGTTTATCTTTTCTGTAAAACTGCAATTGATTTAGATTCTTGACAGCTGTGAAAAATATAAATTTTCAACAAAGGCAAAAATAAAATCTCCCTCTCCAGCTGCCTCGGGGCTCTCCGATGCCAGAACCATTTACCCAGCCTTTATTTTGAAGGCATGTCCTGCTGAGGAATTTCACCAATATTCCTGCCATTGGAAAACAAACCCTGGAAGTATCTTTGGGAAAGAGACCCTCAGAAAAACAATGCACCAGGGTGCTCTCTGGCTGTAAATGTCTCCGCATGGGTAGACCCCAAGCACCGAAGGACTCAGAGCATGTATTGTATGAAAGGAGAGAGAGGGATGCAAGGAACGTGGGGATTGCATCCTGGTAGGTCTGTAGACAATTAATTGGGTCTGTGGGGAGCGAGCGTAAGGACCAGCTCAGCGCTGGGAGAGGGACGTGCAGATGCTGCATGTGGCACAAAAGGCATGATGTTGCAGAGTGATTGATTTTGTTCACTCTTTTGTGCCTGTATTTAAATTTGCAGTTCAGTTTTTTTAGTGCTATGTATGTATTTGTCCATCCCCGTGTGACACCTCTCCGCTGTGTGCGTGTAGTCACACCTGCCCATGCACAAGGGAAAGTCTCTTCTCTGTTGCTGTGTGTGCATGTGGCCTTGCAAGATGTCCAAAGTGGGGCTTCCTCTCTCTCCAGCATTGATAGAATTTCAGCTGGAATACTGTACTGCGCTTGGACACTGTGCTTGGAGGAAAACGTGAGACAACTGGTGAAAACCTAAGGAGAACAACCATCAGGGAGGTCAAGAAAAAGGGTTGAGCTACAAGGAAAGGTTGAATGGATTACAGTTATTCAGGCAGAAGGAAAGGAGCCTGAATTGGGGATGATGACAATCTCATAAAAGCTGATGAAAGGGGAGGAGAATCTTCTGTTCTTCGTATCCGTGTGAGGCAGGACTTGAAGTCATGAACTTAAATTGCCAGAAAATCAATTCAGATTAGATGTGAGTTAAATCCTTGCAGCTGGAAGGATACCGAGTGCCGAATTGATTGCTGGGGCAGTCATGTCATCAGGGGTTGTAAAGAGACGTTAGGCCAGTCTGTGTGAGGGATGGTATAGACCTAATTGGTCCTCTGTTGTTTGAGAGTGGAATTTAGATGACTTCTTAAGATCTTCTCCGTCTTATTTTCCTCTAATTCCATGGTTGTTGCAACCAAGTCTCCAGGCAGACGAGAAGGAAGAATCTATGGTGCGCCAGAACCTGGTGATCTCATCTTCCCTGTGCTGTGCTCACTGATAAAGTTCCTCCTGCCAAAACCTTTTCTCTCCTCATTGTCACCAAATTATTAGTATACCATATCCAAGATTTATTTTCCCACTATAACTTTTACAAAGCAGTCTCCCGTTCTCATGGTAGGCAGTATACACAGTTTTCAATAAAAGGCTTGGAAAAGTTGAGGTCAACAAGCTAAATAAAGAAAATACAAAGCGTATCATAAATCCAAAGGTACATCTATCTAGCTGAGCTAAAAATATAATTCTTATGATTAATTCAATATACTGTAAAGCCTCACTAATTTACTGTTTGCTTATCTACACATCCCATAATTCATACAACAAAAAAAAATCACCATTGGTTTTCTTTGTGCACATTTAACAACCGTGCAGTTCTTTTAGAATTATCACATTCCAGGATTTCATATTTTTTGACACATTAGACATGCATATTCATTAGTGGACTCTGCAGTTCAGATCAAACCGGGCTTGTCTGAGTGTATGAACAGAGTCTGTTTCTGACAGTTACTTCAAAGCTGTCTGTGCATCAGAGCACACCCTGCAAAAACTGTTCCAGCCTTGGGGGTATTCTCTTTCCTTCGTCCAGCCATTTGTTTGCAAATATTGATGCAACCTAGTGCCATTTTTAGGGTGTTTTTAGAAGTTAGTAGGCTTCTATTATACCTGTACCCAGTGGAATAATACACAGAGAGTGCTCCAGGTATGTTTTGTTTGACTCTTGGTATCAAATACATTGTGTACACTTATTGGGGGAGAATCATTCTCTTTAAGCACATTCAGTTATTTGAAATTGCATAGCATGAAGTAATTGCATGTAGGATTTTTCTCTAAGTTAGCAAACAAACCAAACTGAGCATATTCAGTTGAAAGGCCAGTTGTCACTGTGGTTTTGGTTTGGGACGTTGGGCTTTGTCCCACGGTTCCTCATCCTTGGAGCCCCAGATTTAGGGTGAAATGAAACCTGTGCCTGAGGGTGAAATGAAACCTGTGCCTGATGGTGCAATAAACAGTCTATTCTATAGAGGAACTGGTGAACTGCCAGTGGATCTGCCCTTAGGATTGTCTTCCTTTCTCTTGCTGCTCTGGGGAAGACAAGGCCAACACAGAAGCTGTTCTCTTTTCCCCTTTCAGGTGGCATTGTGCTGAATCCCTCCTTCTATGGAATCCCTGGCCACACACACACAATGATCCATGAGATTGGGCACAGCCTGGGGCTCTATCACGTCTTCCGGGGAATCTCAGAGATCCTCTCCTGCAGTGACCCCTGCATGGAAACGGAGCCCTCCTTCGAGACCGGGGACCTCTGCAGTGACACCAACCCTGCTCCCAAGCACAAGTTGTGTGGGGATCCTGGACCTGGCAATGACACATGTGGCTTTCACAGTTTCCTAAACACGCCGTTCAGTAACTTCATGAGCTATGCAGGTAATTGGGTTTCTTCCTTTTGCTTGGTGTGTCTGTGGTTGGGCAAGGACAAAGAGCAGCAGTTTAACCTCTGATGTCTACAGTCCCTTTCATGTGGGGCTTTATGCTGACATGTGCCCATTGGTCCAGGACCAGGCTCGTTGAGGAACCAAACCTGATGGCCTGAAGAATCTCTTCCGGTTCTCCTGTTCTTTTTCTCCCAGTTTTCCCCAACTTTATGTAGTTTTGTTTGACAACCAGGCAGAAGGTTTTGGGGAGGGAAGAAATGAGATGAGCATTAAGAAAACAGCTTCTAAAGGCTCTACAGCAAATTTGACACCCTATTTCCCAGGGATCTGGATGCCTGATCTATGGGATCTTCTTTGGGAACCCTAAGTTCAGAGCTTGTTTACCCTCTTCCAAGGAGATATTGAATGTCAGATGACTATTGATACCACCAAGGCTGTAGGATAAACCTGTGATAGGTAGATATCTAATGAGACACTTACCATCCTTCCAGGTGTCCATTCAAATTCCATGTTTATTGTTTGATTTGGAGTCGGTGTGGTTCTGCTAAAATCACCAACATCTGAGTTTCTTCCCTGGAGTGTGTATACTGGGATAGTACCTGGACCAGGATTGCTCCTCTGGTCAAGGACTCCCATTGTGTTGTGCTGGTTTGTGCTGGAAGTTCAACCACAAAGGCTCCATATCAGTGCAGTGAAACCACCCTCCCCAAGAGGAATAATCTGCTTAAGCAAAAACCTGTGTTTGCCTTTATAACTCTGCAGGGTTCTGTAGGCACAGCTGGGTTCCTCAGGGGTGCTGCTTCACGGCCCTCCCACCAACAGGGCATAAAACAAAGAGGGCAGGAGCTCCTGTGACCCTTCCCCATCAGATGAGGGTGAGATGGGGTCCTTGCTGCACCCCTGGAAGTTCAAGGGGAGTTGAAGGATCCTTTGTTATTTCCCAGAAAGAATAGGGAATACCTTGGCTCTTATTTCCCCTTATTTTGGGTCACAGGGTCTAGCTGTGATGGAGGGCTGTGACATTGAGCTGACAGCATCAACAACATTTTAAAGGTGACCAATATACTTAGAGCCACTGAAGGGCACCCTTATACTCCAAGCAAAAACACAGATTGCCCACTCAAAAGGTCATAGGCGTGCTTATTCTGTAATAAAACTGTAGAGAAGCAAAGTGTTTAATGTCATCTGGGGCACAGATTGAAATGATTTATAACAGAAATGCGTTTGTGCCCTTCATGGCACTAGCTAAAAGTGACGCTTGGTTTTCTCTTTCTTTTTCTATTTGTTTAGAGGGTGTTTTTGGGGACAATCGTACACACACTGAGTCAGCTCCACGGTGTGTTGGGCACTTTTGTGCAAGTGGTGGGGCAGGGAGTCTTCCTGCCTGATACAGCCTCCTGGGAACATCACACCAATTAGTCAGTGCCACTCCAGGTGACAACATCCCTCCACCAAATCTGCCTGAGTGTCTGTGAGGAGGGGTGGAGCATGCTGGTTTCAAAACCCTGAGGTCTTTTCTTCCAAAGAGAACCTGCCTTGCCAGTTCTCTCCAGAGCTGGGACAGAGGCAGACCCTCCGAGATATCTATCTGCTCTTGGGAACCATATGTGCTGGTGTTCCGAGCAGAAACCTTTCTTTTTTTTTTTTTTTCTTGAAAAATTAAGTGAAGCGACATGATAGGCATCTCTAGAGCTCATGCATGAATCTGTTTGCTTTTCTGTTGTTGCCAGTGGAATAAAAATATATCAGGATATCAAATTGCTGCAGAAATACCTTTGAAACGTCTAAGTTGAGGTCATGCAGCGCTAAACATTGCCTTTCTTTCCTTTCTGTTTTGCTGCTTGTATCCAGCTTGATCATAGTGTGTTTGTCTGTCTCTGTCGAACATCCATCTGTCCAGTTACCCCCTGGTTCTGGAGCAAAGCACTGACTTAAAGGGTAACTTTTCTTTCCCTGACATAACAAGTTACGATGTCCAGAAGACCAAAAAGTGTGAGAAATTGGACTTGTAAATTATTTTTACAAGTCCAAATAGCCATGGTGTTCCCAAATAAGTTAGTCTTTTAGATGACTCTTCATGAAATCAGCAGGAATTCTGCCTCTGAAATCTGTTGGAATGATCATCCCAGCAAAGTCTCTTGAGTTTCTTTAATTATTACTTCATCTGAGGATCTTGAACCTTTCTTGAAAGCGAGTGATCAAGTGGGATCCCCTCAGCTCTCCTCCCTTCCTGGCCCCCAGGACACAGCCTGTGCTGATGGTCACACAGATTGAGAATGCAGGTCATCTTTCTCCTCTGCCATTGTCACACTGCTTTGTCCTATATATATTTTATTGTGCCTTTATGATGGCTATTAAGGGCCTTTGTCTCCTTCTGGGCTTCCGTGAAGAATATTTATGGCTTTTACAGCATGCTCAGGGATAGACCATAGATAATTATTGAGGAAATCCAGCGATGTCATATTAAAGCAGCTTTTTGCATACCCACAGGGATTTGTAGATACTTTCAAGCTGGTGGTGTGTGTCTCTCTGCTGTGCATGTTTGATGAGGAGAGGTTCACTACTCCTGGAATCAGGAGAGAAGGTGGGAGCTGACGTGTGGTAGGACTGCAGTTGGGGCTGTAGTCTGAGCAGGATCCCAGCCCAAGCTGTCTCCTTTCTCTTGCATCTCAGGGAAGATGTGGTGAGGTTTTCAATTAGCCAGCAAATTCACACTTCTCTTTAGAACAAATTCATATTTTGTTTCGTTCCTCTTGAGTTCCACAGGGCACGGACGTGAAGACATCAGAGCATCTAGTAATGCTCCTACAATATTGAACTGCCAACTTGCCCTCAAGCAACTTTCTGAACAGCCTTTGGTGACCTGCTTCGTCCCAGAAAAGCGTATTATTATTTGACCTGTGCAAACCCAGGATTGTTGTTTGCACGGCAGCGGCGTGAGGAGGTCCCACGTGGGACTGAGCTTTACTGGGCTGGGAACTCTGCAGGCACATGTGAAGAAACACTCTGTGTTTTCAAGAGCTTTCCATCTGATGGGAAGAGCACCAGAAAAATGGTTAAAGTGCTAGCAATAAGTTCTTCAGCATAGCTTTTCTGGGAGACTTTGCACAACATATTTATTCCTTCTGTGATCTGCACAATAGAGAAATAGTAATTTTCTGCTTCTCCTGGGGCATTGTAGTTGTAAAGTTGTTTGGTGTTCAGAGGGCACTAGATGTGTTCTTGTTGCCAAATCATGTTTGTGGAAAACAGATGGAATGAGAAATGGGTATTTATGGGAAGTTATCCAGCAAAAGTATTTCTCCATTTTGAATGAAAAAGAAATTTGAAATCTCGAAAATGTTTATGAAAAGTTCAGAAAGGGCTTAGGATCACAGTGGAAATGGGGGAGATTTTTAACAGAAATAAAATTATTTTACTGCAACAAAGGTTTAAATTTTTAATCAGTGTTTTTAATGATTTTTTTAAATTGATTTTGCAGAAAATTTTTATTTCTTCATTAGAAAATTTAAGAACTTTAAAAAAATTATTCTGTGTTAAGAAATCTGTCAAAATCTATTGCAGACAATTTGCATGACTCTCAGTCAGTGCTATACCCTAACACTAGCTGTTCTTTGCCCTTTTATCCTCTCTCAGAGATTTTCATTTAGACATGAAATACTTTTAAGCCCAGAGGTCCCCTGGTAGCCCCAATTCTGACCAGAAGGTGCTGCACTGAAGCTTTCTGTGTCTTCACCTCCACGTGTCTCTGTCTCAGCTGGGGATGATCTCTAGGTGCTTCACGTGTATCCTGGACCAGAGGCAGAGAACGTTTATTGATATATTTTTTCCTTTTTAACCTGTTTCCTTCCTCCTGCCTCCGCACTAATTTGCACTAATTTGTTCACAGGCCATTAACTTTTGAGTGCTGCAAGAACTCAGCCCTTGCAAGAAGCTGCCATTCACTGGGTCATAATTCTTTCTCTGGCTTCACCTTATCTCCCACATGGTTGATGGAATGATTGTGTTTTAATTTCAGACGATGACTGCACCGACTCCTTCACGCCCAACCAAGTGGCCAGGATGCACTGCTACCTGGACCTGGTCTATCAGAGCTGGCAGCCCGTGAAGAAACCAGCTCCCATTGCAATCGCCCCCCAGATTGTGGCTCGGACCTCCACCTCGGTCACCCTGGAGTGGTTTCCACCCATCGATGGGCACTTCTTTGAAAGGTGATCACTGCTCTGCACTCTTGCACTGGACTGAATGGAAGGGGAGAAATCGGGGAACAACCCGGGGCCCCACTCTGGGAGCACGGTTGTGTCACGTGCTGTGTTCAGTCTGGGTTAAGGCTCCTTCCTAAATTGGTTCACTGAGGAGGTTATTGATCTGTTTTCTGCTCTTCCTATCTCAGACTGTAGCACTCGGTTGAAGGCCATTGATTTGCCGTGTAAAGGGCAAATCTTTTTCCATATGTTACGGGAGGAATTTTCAATCAGCGGTTCTTGCCCCGTGATTCCTGCTGCTATTGCTCCTCACAAATACCTGTGGGCTTCAGCTCTGCTGGCACCTTCCCCCTCCTCCTCTTGCACCCTCCTTTTGCAAGGACAAGGTGAATCTTGTTTCTGCTCCTGTAGTGGGACGGAGCTCACGGGCAGTGGAGTCTCACAGGGCAAGGAGGTGGCAGGGCTGGGGACAGGGACCAATGCTGGCTCCTTCCCCAGGCTGCAGGTCTGAGATGGTAGAGGAGCAAGGCAGAGCCAAAGACCTGAAACTCTTGAGCATCATGCACATGGTGTCTTGCTGCACCCTGAGCAGAGCATGCCACTCAGAGTACGTGTGGTCACGTCTGATAGGCCTGCAGCTGCCTAGTATCAATAAAAATTAAATGGATTCAGGGCTCTGGACATGGCCGTGGTGGGATGGAGCTCACGGGCAGTGGAGTCTCGCAGGGCAAGGAGGTGGCAGGGCTGGGGACAGGGACCAATGCTGGCTCCTTCCCCAGGCTGCAGGTCTGAGATGGTAGAGGAGCAAGGCAGAGCCAAAGACCTGAAACTCTTGAGCATCATGCAAGTGGTGTCTTGCTGCACCCTGAGCAGAGCATGCCACTCAGAGTACGTGTGGTCACGTCTGATAGGCCTGCAGCTGCCTAGTATCAATAAAAATTAAATGGATTCAGGGCTCTGGACATGAGTTGCACCACTTTGCTGTTCAAAGCTGGAGCAACTCTACCCCAGGATGACCTGAGCAACTGGGTGGTTCATCTAAATGCTCTTAACACAGTGCTTGGATGAGCTGCAGGAGCTATGGGAGTCCGAGCAGAGAACTTCCTAAATGATTGACCTTCTCCCGTTACCATTACCTCACCTTCCCCCTTTGCATTTCTTCTCCACTTTTTGCTTTGTTATTTTATAGAGAACAAACTCGGTGTGTCCTTCAGGGCTGTAGCAGCACGTACCACAGGAGGCCAAATTTACAAGCATATTAGTGCCCAAAGAGCTGTCTCAGCAACTGCTGCTTTGTTCAGTGAGAGCACCTTGAAAACCACTGCCTCCAGCAGGGACGAAGCTCCTTCCAGCTCTGCTAGGACACCTCGGCCATTCCAGTGGGCAGTTTGTGCTTTATCCCAGTAGGCAGATAGCTGTTCTTTTCTGCTAATAAGGTTTTCCCAACCTTATAAGGTTTTCCACCTTTATTGCAGATAAATACGAGGAGGGTAATCAAATTGTCTTAGGAGCTGATAAAGAGAGGTCTCGTGCTCTGAGCAGGCTTCGCCTTAATTGCAGTTTGGCAACTGAATCCTTTTATTCCCTACGTGAGAAAAGGACTTAACGTGAAGTTCTGAAAATTAATTCCGAATTTTTTAGCCCATAATCATTTTTAGGTAAATTAAGTTTCTCCAATTTAATTTAGATTTCAGAAGATACTTACTATGTGTTAAATAAATACCATCTGCCTCTTAAAACACACTGATGCAGAGTTAATTGTTATGTAACCAAATATGTCTTTATTACATATTTCTTATAACTCAATCAATATGTTCTTAATAACCTCTAGTTAGTTACTTCTTAAATAACATACAGTGGATAGCCTGCGAAATCTAAAATTTCATAACAGAGTTATCATATGTTAAATAAATAGTGATTTTCTAGAAAAAAAAAAAAAAAAGAAGTCCTTTGGGTTTTCCAATCTGTGTGCTCAGTATTACTGAGGAGATTTAAAGAGACAGCTTCAAATACTTTAAGCTCAATTCCTTCTTAAAACGAGATTCCCGAAGTTAACCATGGTTGATGGAATGATTGTGTTTTAATTTCAGACGATGACTGCACCGACTCCTTCACGCCCAACCAAGTGGCCAGGATGCACTGCTACCTGGACCTGGTCTATCAGAGCTGGCAGCCCGTGAAGAAACCAGCTCCCATTGCAATCGCCCCCCAGATTGTGGCTCGGACCTCCACCTCGGTCACCCTGGAGTGGTTTCCACCCATCGATGGGCACTTCTTTGAAAGGTGATCACTGCTCTGCACTCTTGCACTGGACTGAATGGAAGGGGAGAAATCGGGGAACGACCCGGGGCCCCACTCCGGGAGCACGGATGTGTCACGTGCTGTGTTCAGTCTGGGTTAAGGCTCCTTCCTAAATTGGTTCACTGAGGAGGTTATTGATCTGTTTTCTGCTCTTCCTATCTCAGACTGTAGCACTCGGTTGAAGGCCATTGATTTGCCGTGTAAAGGGCAAATCTTTTTCCATATGTTACGGGAGGAATTTTCAATCAGCGGTTCTGGCCCCGTGATTCCTGCTGCTATTGCTCCTCACAGATACCTGTGGGCTTCAGCTCTGCCTGCACCTTCCCCCTCCTCCTCTTGCACCCTCCTTTTGCAAGGACAAGGTGAATCTTGTTTCTGCTGCCGTAGTGGGACGGAGCTCACGGGCAGTGGAGTCTCGCAGGGCAAGGAGGTGGCAGGGCTGGGGACAGGGACCAATGCTGGCTCCTTCCCCAGGCTGCAGGTCTGAGATGGTAGAGGAGCAAGGCAGAGCCAAAGACCTGAAACTCTTGAGCATCATGCACATGGTGTCTTGCTGCACCCTGAGCAGAGCATGCCAGTCAGAGTACGTGTGGTCACGTCTGATAGGCCTGCAGCTGCCTAGTATCAATAAAAATTAAATGGATTCAGGGCTCTGGACATGAGTTGCACCACTTTGCTGTTCAAAGCTGGAGCAACTCTACCCCAGGATGACCTGAGCAACCGGGTGGTTCATCTAAATGCTCTTAACACAGTGCTTGGATGAGCTGCAGGAGCTATGGGAGTCCGAGCAGAGAACTTCCTAAATGATTGACCTTCTCCCGTTACCATTACCTCACCTTCCCCCTTTGCATTTCTTCTCCACTTTTTGCTTTGTTATTTTATAGAGAACAAACTCGGTGTGTCCTTCAGGGCTGTAGCAGCACGTACCACAGGAGGCCAAATTTACAAGCATATTAGTGCCCAAAGAGCTGTCTCAGCAACTGCTGCTTTGTTCAGTGAGAGCACCTTGAAAACCACTGCCTCCAGCAGGGACGAAGCTCCTTCCAGCTCTGCTAGGACACCTCGGCCATTCCAGTGGGCAGTTTGTGCTTTATCCCAGTAGGCAGATAGCTGTTCTTTTCTGCTCAGATGAGATTTTCCACTTTTCTTGCAGATAAATACGAGGAGGGTAATCAAATTGTCTTAGGAGCTGATAAAGAGAGGTCTCGTGCTCTGAGCAGGCTTCGCCTTAATTGCAGTTTGGCAACTGAATCCTTTTATTCCCTACGTGAGAAAAGGACTTAACGTGAAGTTCTGAAAATTAATTCCGAATTTTTTAGCCCATAATCATTTTTAGGTAAATTAAGTTTCTCCAATTTAATTTAGATTTCAGAAGATACTTACTATGTGTTAAATAAATACCATCTGCCTCTTAAAACACACTGATGCAGAGTTAATTGTTATGTAACCAAATATGTCTTTATTACATATTTCTTATAACTCAATCAATATGTTCTTAATAACCTCTAGTTAGTTACTTCTTAAATAACATACAGTGGATAGCCTGCGAAATCTAAAATTTCATAACAGAGTTATCATATGTTAAATAAATAGTGATTTTCTAGAAAAAAAAAAAAAAAAGAAGTCCTTTGGGTTTTCCAATCTGTGTGCTCAGTATTACTGAGGAGATTTAAAGAGACAGCTTCAAATACTTTAAGCTCAATTCCTTCTTAAAACGAGATTCCCGAAGTTAACAGATACAGAAACGTTGCTGTGACCATTTAAAAATGTCACTGAAGTGTATCCTGTCTGAAATTTCTGATGTATTAATCAAAACAAGCCCGATGGTGGTATTTTAGTGACTAATGCAGGAAGAGCTGGCGTGCTGACCTTCCAGTGCCAATGTGTCCGGCGCTGCTCGGGTAGAGATACATCCCTGTATCCGTTTGTGAAACTGGGTCACTGTGCAAGACAAGGAGGAGGTAAAATTGGCCCAGGATAATCTTATCTGTGTGTGGGAATACTGTAAATCTTTGCAGATATTTTTACACAAAGTGCACACCATGGCCCAAATTTTACTTGCCTCACTTGGATGAATAAACTCATTCACTTCAATGGGACTATTCATGTAAAAAACAGAAGACTGATACTCGACTGCTGAGTGCCTTGGGCCTGGTTTCTAATGCACGGAGGCCCCTTCCATGCTGTTTTGACAGTGTAAAAGGGCCTTAAAAGCCTGAATGGCTCTGGCTACATTAGCAAGTATTGTGGCCCAATATAAGTAGATCTCTAGCGCAAAACAGTTGTTAATGAAGACCTGACGTCAACACGGTAGGGGTCTTGGGGGGGGGTGTGTTTCAGCCTTGCTCCAGACTGGCCCCGTGGCATCAGCGGTTGGAGCACATCAGGTGTGGTCCTGGACACATCTCTGCTTGGATTTCAGGCAAAACAAGGTCCAGGACTGCTCCCAGTGCTCCAAGTGGGGCAGATAAAGAGTTTCTCCTCAAAAGCTCGCTCCTGATCCAAATTGCAATGTAGGCACACTCAGTGTAACACAAGCTCCTTTTCTGTCCCTTTCATTCTCTAGGGTTGTGCATGGGCAGTGACCTCCCCTCCACAAAAATCAGGAAGGGAAAATTTAGCTTTTAAAGCTTTTGCTTTTAAAAATGTACCTCTGGGCTGGCTGCCTCCGAGGGAGAGGTCCTGACCGGTCCACAGGTGAAGGGGATGAAGCAAAGACCATGTGCCTTCTCCCTGATTAGCTGCATCATGGTCACAGGTGCCACAGTATGAGCTGCTTTTCTTTTAGGGCCTCAATTCTAGGAATGACATGGTTAATTATGTAGATTTGGGGACAGAGAGTAATGCTAACTCATTGTTCTTGTAAATTTGGGGTTGGTTATCCTATGTCCTCTCACCCTGGCAAGAGTAGCTACAGGAGCTGTGCACAGAAGTAAAATCTTCTTCCTCACAGACCCTTCTTACCTATTTAGTGTGTTTTAATTGATGGCTGCTGTATTGCTCCAGAGAGTCATTTACCTGCACGTGAATTTGCCAACATGTGTTTGACCCTAAACTCCAGCAGCTGTTTGATCTAATAATCAAACGTAGCAACACCCACCATTTCTTCTTGTAGCTGCTGCACAGGAGGTTGGGATTTCACTGAATTTCACTGGATTTTTAGAGTTGGAAGGGACCATAGAGATCATCTAGTCCAACTCCCCTGCTGAAGCAGGATTGCCTAGAGCTTGTCAGAGCATGTTACTCAGGAGCATCCAGGTGGGTCTTGAAAATCTCCAAAGAAGGGGACTCCACAACCTCCCTGGGCAGCCTCTTCCAGGGCTCTGGCACCCTCAGTGTGAGGTATTTTTTTCTCATATTTGAGTGGAACCTCCTATGTTCCAGCTTATGCCCGTTGCCCCTTGTCCTCTCACTGGCAACCGCTGAAAAGAGTCTGGCTCTCTCCTCCTTCAACCCACCCTTTAGGTACTTATAGGACACTTCCCATTTTTCATCCTCCTGTTAAAAAAAAAAGCATGAAAAATGTTGCATGCGCATATAATAATGTGTAATAACAAAATAATAATAGAGCCAACAAAACAAGTGAAAACAAGTGAGAAGAAGAAAACTCCATTCATTTCCTGGCTGCATCTCTTAGATGCGTTCATCTGCCGTCGCTAAGCATCCATTCACCCCCCTCCTGTTTGATATGCGGAGGCAGGATGTAAACAGTTATTGTAATAGGGCTCGGCAGCAAATTCTGCTTGGCCAGAAAACTTTGAATGCATCTGCTCTTCCAAGTTTTCATTGAGGTGACTGCATTCATTTCCACGAATCTGATGCTATCTCCTTCTCGGCGAGCAAATATTTTGGTCAGTACGGTGTCCCACATCGAGATGGCTGGGCTTGATAAGCACTTGCTTAAACCTTGCTGGAAAGTTTCAGTGCCTGGGAGGGGAGAGCACCAATTCTGAGTTTCAAGTAAGGAGATGATACAATTTAGCCTGAAAACAGGCACTCTTTACTGAAAGGAATGACGGATTTTTACCGGTTTTGAGTTGCCCACTGAACTGGTGCTGGCCCTGAAGAGAATTGTCTGGTTTTCACTAGTAATCTTTAGATTTTGAATCCGCTTCTGAAATATCATGCTGTAGGAATGAATTCCTCCTGCGCTCTGAACTTCATAAGCTGGAAATTCCCCAGTACTTGGCATATTAGAAAACAGAGAAGTCTAGATTTTCCATTACCCTGCACTTTGGGGAGTCATGTGCACCAGTGTATAAGGTGTCAGATATGCTATCGTTCCTAATTAATAGTGTTTTGAACCAATTTACGCTCATTTTGTCTTGATGTCAGTGGCTGCATAAGGTGTAAGGATCTGGCTTAGATTTTTATAAGCCTGTAAATGCGATTCCATAATTAGTTCTGACATTCGTGGCTGTTTGTAGGATTTGTGTGCCTGCAGACCAAAAACTGCAACCCAGGAGTCATCCCCTGTGCAACTCCTTTCAGCCAGTGGAGTTACATCAGGGTTGAGTTTGGCTCCCAAATTGGAAAAGTAAAAAGAGAAAGTTTGCTCATAGCCTTTCCCACATGATGCTCCTTGTGATTTCTCTTACCTCCAAGTCCTTGCTGGTAAAAGGAAATGTTTGTCCATAAGCCTACAGTTTTTTCCACCATGGCAGCCTGTGATGAAATTGTATAGCTGCTAATTTGAGTAAAAAGCAGTCCTAATTGTGGAAACTTGGCTTTCCAAGCCCTCTCCTCATCCAGGACCAAGCGCTAATGCAGGAGTCTCTTTGTAGAGAAGCTGAAAGATTATTATTGCAGGGACTTCTATCCTGACTGATGTGTCTGAAAAACGACTGCACAGTAATAGTTTTACATTTTGATTTATCAGTACCTTTCATTCTGGATTCTGGGATTTGTTTGCATCTATTATCTAGGCAAGCTGAGTTAGACACTTAAACCCCTGCTCACGAGACAGCTGAGAAATGCAGTGGGGAGGCAGCATCATGTCAATGGTGCAGGTGGGTGAGATGATACAGAGATAGAATTATTCCCAACGTGCCCAAATTTGTTCATTACCAGCCTTACAGGTCGTGCAAAGAAGAGGAAGGCACCTTCCCCTCCCTCTTCTCAGTTCTACCCCCTCATCCACATGTTATTCTTCAGGTGTTTTCAGCAGGTGCATCTCTTTCTGCACCAGCTGGGAGGTCTGTCGTTCCCTGTCTCTTTGTGCAGGGGTGGCTGTGGGCCATATGGAAATGAATACAAGTTTCACCACTGATTTCATTCCAGCTCTCCCCCCGGTGTTGACAATCCCTGCTTCCGCCTAATTAAGCCAAGAGGAAGTTGATTTTCAAATAGATGCCTGTCAACAAATGGGAGATGCTAAGCTGTGGAGCAGCTGAGCGTGTGTCCCTGACACCAAAGGGGAGTGAGATCGTGGAGCTGGGGAGGGTAAATTTACAGCCCGGGTGTCCTTGCTGATGCTCCAGAATAACTTCTGCCTGAGGATCACGGTGCCCTTCGCAAAGCCCTGCTGAAATAAAGCCTGCAAGGGGAGATGGTTACAATTTGCATAGCTGATTATAATAATTGATGACTCAATCCGTACTTGCTTGGGTAGCTTAGAGAGTACACCGTGTGTTACGCACAAATTGTTTGCCTAAAACTTCTGTCCTTTCCTAGGTGCATTTTATCTGTAAGATAATTAATTTTTTCCTTTCAATTGGGCTGAGCTCCTTAAAGCAGAACAATGAATTCTGAATAATAAGCAACTTTGTGGGCTGAATAACCACACATGCTGGGTTGTACAGTTCCGAATTATGTGACCTCAAGGAACATAGGGCTGAACTGTGTGAGTTGCATCCTCAACTGATCTAAATCAGCTTAATGGCGTGGAAGTTGTTAGAGTTACTCTACTCTACATCAGCTGAAACCCTGATCTTGTGAATGTATTCGCAAAAATATTTGTGAATCAGTGTTTAACTGGGTTTTCCTGTTCAGCCAGTTCTGCTGATAGTACTTCATTGACAGCAGCAGGTATTAGGTGGATTGTGTAGGTGAAGAGATGTTGGCACTGGGCAGTGAAGGGCCTTTCTCAGTGCCATGTCACACTGTCCGATGGCACGGAGCCATGAGATGTTCTGGTTCAGAAGGAGCCATCGGCTGGTGCCAAAGCTGCCGGGTATCAAATCCAGGTTCCCCTGTGAGAAGGATCCAGGGTGTGTTCTTTTCTGAGTGTTCATAACCCACCCCTTTTCCAGGCTTGTAATGACCTGGTGAGACACCTCCAAAAGCCGGTCCTTGCGCACCGAGCGAAGCTGTGCTTCACAGAGCAGCTCCCTGTGATGTTCTCACAGCCTGGGACTTCACCCTCTCCTCTAATCACCAGTAAGCCCAAGGGCCTTCATAGTCCTTAAGATGCTACAAGTTCAAGCAATAAATCCACAGTGGGAAAAGAAATAGATCTGAAATCTCCTGAGGCCCATTTCTCTGCTCTAACCGCTAAGCAACACGTATTTTCTTTTGTCAGGGTTTGATCCAGTTGTAGTGCAGGGGGGAAAAAAAATGCTATATATAAATATACACATAGATATATATATAGCTGAGCATGATTTCACAGGTTGCTGTCGTTGTGTGTTGGGTGGAGGACTCACAGATGCTGCCTATGAAGGTCGTTAGCCCAAACCTGCAGAAGGTCAGCAGCAGAAAACACTCTGGTCGGTGCTGTGAGAAGAGGGTTAAGCGGAACTGAATTCTAAGTCTTATTGCTTTTAATATAGTTGAATAAGCAGCTCATTCAGCTGTTACTAAGTTGGTGTGTTTTCCTGTTTTCCTGGCCTCCTAGAGAAGTGGGATCAGCATGTGATCTGTGTGCGGAAGGAAGAGTCCTGGTGCAATACGCCTTCAGCTCCTCTTCCCCGATGCCCTGCGACCCCTCGGGGCACTGGAGCCCCCGGGAAGCAGAAGGTGAGTCACAGGGTTGGGGACAAAGAGGTGGCGGGGATGGGGGGGACGGGCCAGAGCCCCAAAGGCAGTGGGAAAATGGGGGAGAGAGTTACTCATTACACCCGTGTGTAGAACGAACAAAGCTGGAGGAGGGATGGGTGCGCTGTGCCCTGAAGCAGAGCCACGGGCTGAAATACCTGCGTTTTGGCCCCTGTGTCCTGACCCTGCCCATGAATTAAGCGAATTCCGGGAGCTGAACCTGAATTTCAGAAAGCAGCCCGAGTGCCAAGAAATGCTGACCGTTCACATCTGCCAGATGAACTCCTCAGGGGAGCTGTTTGCTCCTTCTGCTCCCAACTCCCAAAGCGAAGAATTGCATGTTATTTATTTGGGGCCGATTTCTGCTGCCTTGGCTTTCGTTGAATGGCAAAGGGCTGCTCCGGCAGCCGGGCAGGAAGGAGGTTGCCCTTTGGGCAGGTGTTCTGCAGCACGAACGCAGATGACTACGTCAAGCCCAGGCTAGTTGAGGGTGTTTTGCAAGTCGTGCTTCCTGCTCTGCTCCAAAGCACGTTGGAGGGAGCGTGGTCAGAGCTGGTCCTACGGTGCCATTAGGTCTCCCTCATTAATTCTCCTCCATACGTACCTTCCATGACGTAAGTAGGTGGATGTGGTAGAGCATATTTAAGATTAGGCCAGGCAGAGGTCAGTGATCACAAATTACAGTTTGGAAAGAGCAGAATATTGTTTCAGTCTGTCCATCACGGGCTGTTCCTCCGGGAGCAGCACGCACTTGGGCTCAGACTTCACCCTGAACATGCAGGTGGGCCAATCCCTGGATTTTGCAAACTCATGTACAAATACGTCCTGACATTAAGGGCTTCTCTTTCCTGTGGCCAGAGCACGTGGGAGTTATTCTACAAGGAAGATTATTTGTAAGCTAATGTGGTGATATACGCAGTGCTGGCATCCGGGAGCCCTCCCTTTTCCTGAGGTGCAGCCAGTCATGTCCCCACTACCTGGTGGGACAAGCTGTGTGGGCAGGTGTCCTCTGCCCCACGCACCCATCTCCCAGGGTGGGGGCCCAACGGAGGTTACAGTTCACTCCAAGTCACCCCCAGAGGGTGGACATCCAAGGGCCAAGGCTATGGACAGGGCAGAGCACACCTACCCCTTGGGTGGATGGTGTTGAAGAGCTCCATCCCAGGAAGCAGCGTTCCGGCTACGAATGTGACTGGATTGTCAAGTAAACAGGATTAGTGAGGTCTGGATGGCTTGTAGTAGTAGCACAGGGTGGAAGGTAGAATTTCCCCTTAGCCAAGGATTACAAGACTTTGAAACCTGGTTTCGTTTGGAACCAAACCTGAAACTTTTGACATTCTCCATGAAGGAAAACTAAAAACAAAAAGTGTTTGAAGCTGGCCGAAATGTTTTGTTTAGCTCATATAATTCCTCTTTCATGAACTTCGGTTAAATTATGACATTTGAAAATGTCCCCATTTAGTATATAATCTAGGGCAAAGGCGACTTTTAATATCAAAATGAAAAGTGTTTCAAAGTTCAAAAGTGAAATGATTTCTTCCAAAAACGTCAAAACGCAATGTTCCAATATTGTTAGAACTTTCTTCCCATTTTCTCATCCAGAATAAAATTTTGGACAAATAACCCAATTTTGCAAAGTGTTTTGGTTTTGAAAGAACTGCGTATTCCATTGAGATACACAGTTGCATCGAAATTTCTCCAACGAGCTCTGATTTGAAAACTTCTAGATCTCACACGTCTTGCCAGCGGCATCATTCCTAGAGAAACTAAGCTCCTCTAAGATTTATTACTCAGCTGCATTTTGCATTTAATTTCCTCTTCTTACAGTGTGTGCCTGCATGTTCTTAACTGTGAAGGGTGCAGTCAGATCCTTATCTGCCTCATTCAGTTGCCGTTGTGCCATTGCTCTGGAAAGAAAATTTGGGAATCCTATCCTCTTACTACGTTAATAAGTTGTCTCCAGTTTTGGGTAGAAAATATACCAAGTGTATGGCATTTGTTGCTCTGTAATTTTCTGTCATCACTACCACACTCCCTGACATTCAGGATCTCTGCCTACTTGCACTTGGTCTGAGTTACAAATAGCACAGTTAGATCATTGTCTGGCTTCTTTAATTGTCTATCTGTGAGTACTCAAGCATGCAAGCTTTAAACTCACTTTCTGCAGGCGTTCATGTGTGTAAATCTCCCCTGCTTGAGTGTTCATGGAAAGTGAATACAAAAGAGGCATAAGCATGGCCAAAATGAACTCATATTAAAATTTGAGACGACACTCATGGAAAATGTTTCGTAGAGCTCATCCAGCTTCTTACCAGAAAACCACATTTCTCACGTGTCTCTGCAGCAGCTCTGGTTGGTCTGATTTTGTTTTCCTGAGGTCTCGCGGCGTTGTCGTGCTGCATGGTTACCCCCGGTGGCTGTGGCCACTTCAAAACTCTGCCGTGGGGACGTTGTCCTTCCTGGTGCCCCCTTTGTGCCCAGCATGGTGGGGTCCAACCCCCTGGCTGACATATTTTGTAATTCTTTCTCAGCTGGCTCTGCCCCTATATGAGTGGAGTTTGCTCCTTGGTGGCCGTTGTGGGAAGGTGCTGGAGATCAGGCAGTTCTGATTTCTCTTCACCGCAGAGCAAGACAGCTCTAACCTGCCTGGATCCTCACCAGCAACCTCAGTAGATACACAAACCTTACAGCACCTCCACAACTTGGCCAAAGGGGTTATTTTATATATTAAAGGTGATTTTGGTTCAAACCTTTACTTTCTGTGTAATAGCCTCATACATATCAGTCAATTCCTACTGCCTGGCTCGCTATTGACTGAAAGAGGTGGGAGAATATAGTAAAACATCTTGCTGCCTGGTTTTTTTAATATATTAAAAGTGATTTTGGCTCAAACCTGCGTAATATCCTCATACATATCAGTCAGTTCCTACTGCCTGGCTCACTATGGACTGAAAGAAGTGGGAGAATATAGTAAAACATCTTGCTGCCTTAGGCTGCTCGAGTGCCCTGCCTTTCCCAGTGGCCAGTATTTCACTTGAGAGCAATTAATTCTGTATTTGCAAGTGGAATTGTCTCAGTTGGATGTTACAGCCCCACTGGATGGTCCCTTTGTCCTGACCGTGTAAGAAACGGGGCAGGTGAGTTGCAGTTGTGGCAGTGGCTGCGTCCCAAGAGGCTGCTGATCCCAGCTGGTGTCCCCAAAAAAGTGTGTCAAGTTTTGTGTTAGGCAAGGCGTGATGTTGCAAGAGGGACTGCTCTGTGACCGATCTTGCTGATGATCTGTTAAGTTTAAGGATTTCCGAACCTGTGTGCACAGGGGCAGAATGACTTCTACACCATTGCTTTTTATATACAAATATTTGTCATCTTCATAGTGTTTACCCATCTCTAGAAATCTAGAGTTACACGGAGGATGGTTTCCATCCTCTTCCACAGTTTAGTGAATGTTTCTTACCCAGGTCTAAATGTCTGATTATGTTTAAGGAAGGGACCCTTTATCTCAACTTCATTGAGGTTTTTAGTCTATAGTTGACTACAATCAAGCTCTCGTTTTGGGGTGATGATCTGCATTAAACTCCCTGGAGGCTGCATTCAATTCATGTAACTCCGGGGGTCACACCCTGATCTACCCAAACATGTTGGTTTATTCACTATTCAAGTCTTACAGAGCCCTTGAACTGGCAGAGGGGAATTTACAGGAACCCCAGTGAGACCACTTTTGAACACGTACTGGGCTGCGAGCCATTAATCACCTCCATTTTCCTATCTGTGAGATGGCAGCGATAAGATTCACAAATCTTTCTGAAGCCCTCTGAGAGACTGGGGTTAGAACCACCTTCACAGGGCTGCAGGCAGGAGCTCGCTGGGACTCTAAGAAAGTCATCGAAGAGCCCGGCCAAGCTCATGGGGACAGCAGTGAATGTTGGGAGATAACGTGAGTCAAAGAGGGTATTTGCTACTCAAAGTGATTATAGGCAGCGCCTGCGAGCGTGCCAGGGGGAAAGGACTTGAGCGTGTTTAATGGAACTCTGGCTTTCTTCACAAATCTATCGCTGCTGTGGTCTCTCCAGATGCTGAGGTTCTTGGCATTCCCGCTGCTCCGTGGCATGCGAGGAGGAGGAGGAGGAGGAGAAGGAGGGCAATGGGGCGTGTGTGGGTGAGGAGAAGCGTCAGGAGTGGGGTGTCTGCAGGGCGATCGCCTTGGGTTGTGGGGAGACACCAGCAAATCTGGGTTCATTTGGTAGGAACAGCAGAAATCCCTGTGCTGTTTATCCTTGACAGAAGAGGCACATTTCTAACACTTCATTGGATCACAGACAATAAGAATAACCTTCACATGTTGCCCTTTTCTCTTTAAATTAGTAGTGATGTCCTGTTTGTTCGTGTTTGCCCGGTGCTTTATCTTGCTTTCTTCCTCGGTTGCAAACAGCTGTGCTCTCTCTTTTTTTTTTTTTCCCCTCTGCCTTCTCCATTTCTCTCCTCTCGTTACCTTTCTTTATCTTTACTTTTCCCTTTCTTCTTTCTTGTGCTTTGCCTTCTCTCTGTCCTGCTTGCTCCCTTTTCGTGTCATTATTTGGGAAGGAAGAGGGAATTTATAGCTCTCACTGGATTCTGTTACCAACTGTTCCACCCATCTGACCTCTCTGGATCTCGCAGTCCATGACTCCGTGCCAAATTGTAATGTTACCATAGTATTTGGGAACCCAGCAAGCATTGTGGCTTTCATTAGTTTTTAGTAATACCTCCCATGTAGTTGAACGTAGCCAACGGTGAGAAATGTAAAAGTACAAGTGCCTGTTGTTTCATCACAACGAGCGCAAAGAGCCAGCTCAGACCTGTGCTCCGTGTGCCTCCCAAAAAGGGGGCTTACACAATGTGCTCAATTGGCCTGGAAATGGTATAGGAGTTGCCCCTCAACAGCTTCTTGGAACCAACAAAAGCTCTTTTCTTGTCTTTGTTTAAGAGAAAAAGGTTGTGTTTTAGAGTGAGAGGCGAGGGAATAAGTAGGAGCACGGAGGTGAACTGAAGGCAAAGTGACCGTTTATCAGGTAAAGTGCCAAGTGGAAGGGGTCATAAAATATCACTTGGCACAGGAAAAGGCACTAGCAGTAGGAAATACAGGACCAGACACGTTGGCACAGTGTGTGTTGTCCCGTCCAGCTGGGCACTGAAACTGGGTTTGCATCTCTCTCGCCCAGGCAGATGTTGGAGTTACAGTCCTCCCTCCGTGCTGGCTGTGCCTGTTCTGCTCAAGTAAATAATTAGTTTCCTGGACAGATATGCTCTCCTGCCACCAGTTTGTCTTTCAAGACTGGTGCCTGTGATAATCCCTGTTCTCTAATTTTTTGTGCCCTGTCTTTGCTTCCTTCTTTCTTTCCAGGGCACCCTGATGTTGAGCAGCCCTGTAAATCCAGCGTCAGGACATGGAGTCCCAACTCGGCAGTCAACCAGCACATGGTGCCCCCGGCCTGTCCCGAGCCTCAGGGCTGCTACCTGCAGCTGGAGTTCCGTTATCCCCTGACTCCAGAGTCCCTCACGGTCTGGGTGACATTTGTTTCCCCAGATTGGGACTCCAGTGGAGTGGTGAATGACATCAAGTTGCTCACCGTCAGCGGGAAGAACATTTCTCTCGGTCCGCAGAACGTCTTCTGCGACATCCCGTTGACCATAAAGCTGGATGCGGGACAGGTGGGCGAGGAGGTGTATGGGATCCAGATCTACACTCTGGATGAGCACCTGGAAATTGATGCTGCCATGCTGAGCTCCGTGCCCCACAGCACGCTGTGTGCGGACTGCAAACCCATCCAGTACAAAGTGGTGAGGGACCCTCCTTTCCAGTCTGGATCTCCAGTCGTCATCTCAAACCTCAGCAGGAGATTCGTCGACACGTAAGTACTGCTTCCCAGAGAGCTGGATAGGCTTGTTGGGAGAAAAACAATAACCTGGTCTTCTCATCCTGTTGATGTCCAGCATCACGGTTGCTCGTTAGGACTTTGAGCTAGGTAGACGTACCAGGCATTACCAAGAGAGCATATTCCCATAGTTTGTCTCTGGAACCAGGAATATCTCCCTCAGGTGATACAGCCTGGGATTTCCTGGGTAATTTTTGAGGAATTTCTGGGCTGGTTGTGCAGAAACATGAAATTCTGGCTTCCCTTAACCAGAAAGGATATTGCAAACTACCTGAGCTATGATAAGTTAAATGTTTAAGATAACCTCTGGAGTGACGCAGTCGTCATTTCCTTAGAAATCTGGAGTGACACAGTCATCGTTTCCTTAGAAATCTTTTGAAAGTAATGTTTTGATGGAGAAGGATACAGAAGGGCTTTCAGTGCTGGAGCACCAATTAACTGCTAAAGAAAGGATGCAAAAAATACACTTGCATCTTCAGGTATATAAATGTGTTTCAACCAATTTCGTTTTCTGCTTTCATGTGTCACTAAAACAACTCGTGGTGGGGTGGCATCCTTCTATCCCAGCAGAGCTGCCAAATGCACTGGTTTGTTGTAGGGACTGAGCTTCATCCCAGATGCAGTTCTGCTCGTCCAGTCGAGGAATGCGTGATTGTTGAGGAAAGTCCAACTTCAAAATATTTAACAATTTCAGGAGATCTGTGATCTACCCGTAGGCATTCTCCAGCAGCAAGAAAAACATCTTTTGCATAAGACGATTCCCTGGAAATGATTCACTCTTCTGTGGGAACAACATGAAGCTCTTTTGAAAAATGAACACCAGATAAAAGGAAACCTGCTAAGAAAACTGCACTCTAATTTAGAAAAGATGATCTAATTAGTACAGCTAATATCAAGGAAGCATACATCATTATGGTCTTCTAAAGCATATTTAAATATAATAAAAATGATTAATTAACAATTCAGTAATCATGAGCTACCATCCCTTTCATGGCCCAATTATACAGCTCAGAAGATGCAAAATGTCCCTACAGATTTAAAAATTCAAGGTAACTAACAATTGTGAATATAAAAACAAAACCCCAAGACATCACTGAGGTTACTCATGTGCTGAAAGTTAAGCATGTGCTTAAGTGCTTTCTGGGGTTGTAGCCTTGTTCCAGCAGTTGCTGGCGCTTCGCATGAGATGAATATTGGCATATTGGAAACGTGGAAAATGGTGAATTTTCCCATGGTTTTGCTGTGAAAGCATCTTTGCCTGAAACCTGGCCCACTCTCATTGGAAAATGGGACTGGTTTGGTTTGAAATATTTGCATACCTTAGCACAAGTTCCCACAGAAACAGGTCCAGTTTTGAGATCATAACAAAATGTGAAAAAAAAAAAAAAAAAAAAAGCCCCAAAACATAACTTGCATCCTGAGTTCTATTCCCTTGTCTTTCTATTATGGCATTCTGAGTTCTATTCCCTTGTCTTTCTATTATGACTTTGTGGGTGACTTCTAGCTTATAGCCAGCTGTAGCAAAAGGGTGCTCTAATCATGAAATCAGGAGCCAGGGATTAATGAGAATTTTCCTGTGCGTCATTGAATAAATCACATGGGGTAACATTACTGAACCTCTCTGCGCGTCTCACCTAGTGACACAGCCAGCTGCAAATCAGACAGAAAATTTACATTAGTCTTTCTGGGCTCTTCCCGAGACCAGCAGAGGGAAGGGGATGCTCCTGGAGGCTGGCACAGCCGCCCTAACCCAGCCTTCTAGTCTGGCTGGCCCCGGGTCGTCTGCGTCTTTCCAGGGACTGCAGGGAAAACCCTGCCAGTGAGCTTCCAGGAGATGCTCAGAAAACTAAAAATGAAGTTTTTAGTCACTGGGTGAGGAGTTGAAGACGCAGATTCTTAAGTAGTTGGTTTTGATTCATGACTTGGGCGTGTGGTTGAAATCTTGAAAAGTAGGGTGGTTTTTTCCATCCCTGGTAGACCTGTGTGCACAGCACTGAGCCCTGTCCTCTGGTGATGGGGTTCATGCAGTGTGCCCAGGTGGCCAAGAAAGCTCACGGCATTCTGGCTTGTAGTAGAAATAGTGTGAACAGCAGAAGTAGGGAGGTGATTGTGCCCCTGTACTCAGCACTGGTGAGGCCACACCTGGAGTGTTGTGTCCAGGTCCGGGCACCTCAATCCAAGAGAGATCTGGAGGTGCTGGAGCCAGTGCAGAGGAGGGCAACGAAACTAGTGAAGGGCCTAGAAGACAAATCATATGAAGAGCGGCTGAAGGAGCTGGGGCTGTTTAGTATGAGGAAGAGGAGGCGGAGGGGAGACCTCATCACTCTCTACAACTACTTGAAAGGACACTGTAGAGAGGTTGGGGCTGGTCTCTTCTCACAGGCAATTAGTGACAGAACGAGAGGGAACGGCTTCAAGCTCCAACAGGGTAGGGTTAGATTGAACATTAGGAAGGAATTTTTCCCAGGAAGAGTGGTCGGGCATTGGAACAGGCTGCCCAGGGAGGGGGTGGAGTCACCATCCCTGGCCGTGTTTAAGGGCCGTTTAGATGGGGTACTGAGGGACATGGTGTAGGGGAGGACTTTGTAGAGTAGGGGAGATGGTTGGACTCGATGATCCCAAGGGTCTCTTCCAAGCTCAATGATTCTATGGTTCTATGCACATTCACAGGGGGATGCTGCGTGTCCAGGCGCCAACTGGGCCAGTCTTGAGACACAGCAAGCGCCTTGAAGCTCTGCGTGGGGTTGTGGTTATGTGGTAGAGGCAAAAGCAAGATGACTTTTCCATTGGCACCTTGTGCAAAGAGGGCTACAGCCCTTATACTCCATAAACTGGAGGGAAGGGGAGATGCTTCAGGGAAGTCAGAGGTGTTGGGCTCTGCTCCTAGGTATATATATCTATCTGTGTGGGGTAAATGCAGTCTCTCTCAACCTGTTCCCATCTGCCTGTCTCGTTCTGTACAGCTGGAATTCAGCATATCTGTGCAACCAGACTTTGCAGCCCCTTTATCTCTCTGTGAGCCCCAAGCCAGTTACCCCTCCTTTATGCTTTTGCATGTTTTCCATATTAAATAAAATGACACCCCCACATGTTCTATGGAAGGTTATTTTGAAGGCAGTCACATATCTTTACTCTTGCCTCCTCTGACCTTGATCTTCACTTTCTCTTTTTCTCCCAAAGAAAATATTTGCTTGCACTGTTATCTCTGAGCAAGATCCTTTCCCCAGGTGTGGCGATGCTGAAAGAAAAATTAATTTCTCTTACCTTCTTCCTATCAAAGAGAGGGAACTTCTCTTTAAGCTGAGAGGAGAGACAGCCTTTAATGGATAGCCCTTGCCTAGTCAGCACTGGGTGCTCCACAGAGGAGAGTAAATAAGTACAACAGTGGAAATCTTTTATTAAGAAATGCAAAATAACACCAGACCTGTGCTCCAGCTGAATTTTAATCTCGGCTCTTGGCTGAGCATAACGAACATCTCTAAGGGACAGGACCTTATCCTTGGACCTTCCAGAGACCAGGCAAGACACGCTCAATTCCACTGAGTACGATCAACCAGAATTGCTGGTATCTGTGATGCAAAATGAGGGTCGGAGCCCAGGAAGAGAGCAGAAAGCTAAATAAATCAGTGGGGAAAGAAAAGAGGTCAGGCCAGGTGCAGCACAGAACTGCTGAGTCTTCACGCCGCCGCCCGCGATAAGGAAGGAGCCTCATCTGCAAATCTCAAAGTCTCAGCTCACAATTCAATCCAAAGTTTGGACCGTGCTCTTACGTAGAGGGTTGCACTCTGGCTGTTCTCTAGAAATAACGTGCGAGAGAGTCACAGCGGTGGATGTGGTAATTGTTTTGCCCTCACTTTGCCCTTACTATCCTGCTTTTACGCTCACGTCGTTGCAGTTGGAAAATAATCGTTGCCTTTGCATTCGTTTGTAGCAACCACTGATTTTTTTAAGAGCTCAGTGAGAAGAGAAAGCCCACAACGAGGTGCTTTCCTGAGGGTGTCACAGGGACAGTTAGGTGTCAGGCCCATGGGGACAGGCTGAGGTGAGCAGCCTTGTGTTCCCCGTTGCATTTTTCGGTAGCTGAAGTTGCGAGCGGCGAGCAGCCGGGTGTGCTGGCCGGGTCTAAGCCGGGAGACACCGAGGTTAGTTTTGGCAAGTTGTCAGAATAACTGGAAAAGTTTCCTAGAATTGGAAATTTTCCCAACTCTTCTGCCACAGACTTTGTAGGAAACCTCAAAACATCATGGATGGCGATGGATCAGGTCACCTTTCTGATGTTGATCTGTGGGCTTTTGGAAGACAAAGGCATTGACTGAAATAGCCTTAGAAGGAATCCTAGCACTGGTGGGAGTTTTGGTTGTGCAGAGTGGAACATAACTGAGAAGCAAGTATGTTGTCCTGTGAGAGACTCATCTGAGCCATTCCTATGCTGACGAGAGCTTTAGTACCCAAGTGACACCTGGAGATCCTGCAGTTGTACTTGAAAAAGAAAGAAAAAAGAGAGACCGAGAGAGAAAAGTGGATTTTCTTATGTAGGAAATTTGTGTTTCTTTTCAGTTTGGGCTATTTTATACCTACTTTCTGTGGCTACACCTTTTTGTTGCTTGGGAATTGTTGGAAGGGACTGGTCATTGTATGTGTATAGCTGTTATTTAAACAAGTGCAACATTTTAAAAGACTTTGTCAGAATCAGGAGTTCCATTCAGTGCTAAGTTTGTAAAGTCCATGTCATTTATTGTGTTTTAACTCCCCACCTGAGATGGTGGAGTGCAGATCTCACTAGGGCTCCGTGGAGTGACTGCAGAATGACTGAGAAAGTGCCATCTTGAAGCTTCCAGGTCGCTGGAGGGCTCCTGTGGCACTGGTTGTGGGTTCTTAGTGTTTCACGTGCTTTACCCAGAGCAATTGTTTGTTTCAAAAGGGGCATTATCGATGCATTTGCCATTAGTTCCTGGTATCCAGTCAGAAGGCCATGT